GGGGGGGGTCAAAAGAGCCCCCCCCCCGGCCCCCCCATGTCAAAAAAAGCCCGGTCTAGGTAGGGTTAAAAAAAACGACAAAAAAAATAGAAGAAAACAACAGAAGTTGCTCTAGTGACGTAATGGCAGTGCTTGGGGTTCTTAGGAGGTGCAGTTCGTCATCAAAATGTAGTCTACCCTCTTTACTTTTTCATGTTTGCAGCCTCTAAAAATGCAACACTCCAACAGAATTAAAAGTCATTGTGGCTTCCTGACAGTTTTAGTCAACAATTTAGGCTCTTTGTTATATGGGACAAATATTTTTTGGAAGGCTTGGTGTTTATGCTAATTTTTGCTTTTCTGTTTGTTAACCTGCTTAGTACATAGCATGTTCTGTGTATCCTGAAACAAATCTTGTTTGTGTCTTAATGTTTTTTGTCTCATTTTTCAGATGACGCGAAAGAAGCCAAGCTGAATTCAAAGTTAGACATTGTTGAAGACTCTTTAGATGAAATTTTAGACATTACACGGTGTCTTTTGCAATACAGCAAAATGGATATGTCCCGACGACCTCACCCTGTCAAGACATGCCCCTGAAACATTTCTCTGAAACATGAAATATCCAAGGCAATGGGTGCCATACAAGACCCCCCATTAAAAGACACCAATAAATATTAAGACGTATGGACTAAAATTTAAAGTTAAAATGCAGATCAGTCAGATGTTGCCGTCCAAAAACACCACTCGACAGGCAATTGAAAAGATTGAAAAGAAATAGTAATATTAAGCAGCAATTCAACTTACTTTTTTTACCTTATTTACTGTGTACGTTTTTAAATAAATTTTATATGGCAATATCCTTTAAATTCTTTAAATGTAGTTACCTGAATGTAGTCCTAATTATTTCAATCTCAATTAAATTAAATTAAATATAAATATATTGTAATAAAAAAACTGCATTTAAGGTAACACGCATTCTATTAGGCCACACCAAGTAAATTCTATGGATGACGTCCTTTGGAGACCCTAAATCTAATGCGAGAGGGCGAAAAAAAACAAGAAGGGCCCTAAAAAACAAGATGCCTACATTACAAATATACTAAGAAACGACAAATGTTAGGACACAAATTGAATGAGGTGACACAGTTTAACAAGCAAGAAGTCTTTTATTCATCATCAAAACAGCAATAACTCACTGGTGGAACAGCAGTTGTCGTCCTGTCCTGTTTTGGCGTTACGGGTTTCACGTCAATCTGACGATTTGCGGCACTGTCATGACTCTTTGGTCATAGTTATATGAAGCGAAATTTCTTGTGTTTTTTTTTTCTAGGAACAGGCCAAAATCAATGCGCGCGTGGGCGTCATCCATAAAATTTACCTGGTGTCGCCTTATACTGGCACATTATTAGGTAAAGGACCTGAAAAAAAATGTATACAATTATGTGTTCTATTGTTTCTAATAATATACTTTAATGAGTTATATGTTCTTCATATGTCTAGCGGTAATATTTTTAGATAAAGCAATCATTCTGCTAATATTTAAGGAGCATGCAGTACTGTAAACGGAATTGTATAGATCTTAGTAAATTGTATATCCAGATAATAAAAGGTCTACACTATTGCCTGAATATTATTGACTTATGCCATAAGTAAAATGTAAGTGTAAATGAAGACTAGGTAGTTTTATGTACAATATTCTCTGCAGTGGCCTATAACCGCATCTATGCAATAAATGCACTCCATATTATATTGTTACAACAGGTTTAGAATATATTACTGTGAGTTCAGAATTGTTTCCACTTCTTGTACCGTTTTACATATTTGAAGCCATTTCACCAAGACATTGTTATTGTATATAGTACAAACGCACAACTTGCTGGTGTTCGGCCAGGTCGTCTACTGTTCAGCTATGCCGGCCGAATTTCGGTTGGCGTTCGGGAGTAGGTAAAGGTGTGGTTGGTAGTGGGATTAGCCTAAATTAAAAAAAAAAACATTTTTGTTGTATAGGGCCTTTAAAACTAACGTTAAGCATATCAGTGGTAGTTAGAGATATAGTATTTGACTTAACAAGGCAAGAAGTGTATTTTTTGTAACGGAAGCATACATACAGACGTGGCACACCAAGGTAACATTTCATGCATTAAAGGAATACAATGAGTAAGAACAACGAAGCGTATTTTATAATGTCACACTACGTTGCAAACACACAATCCTGCAAAGGAGATTTCACATCAAATTAAAATCAAGTTGGAGAGGGCATCGACCCGAGGCAATTGAAGTACGCAACAGCAAATTTCTATTAGTTGCTTCGTTCTTTATATTTTACTTCATTATATGCCGTATTCTCATTGCTGTTCGGTCTGCGGCAAGATAGGACAGGGCCCAGAATCAAGGAAAATTCTGGTATGCAATCAGACAACAGCGTATGATGAGTCAGAAATGGAACCTAGCCTGCAATCTAGATGGCTCTGATATTACAGTGACATTACCGTTGGTCACTCAATAATTCATGAAAAGGTGTGTTTGCAAGCAGGTTAAAGGACAATGACAGGTCTTATACCGGTGTCCACCAATATAATATCACCGTTGTCATATTAACATCTAGGCAAATAGGACGTGACACATAGACACAGCAGGTCTTTGTAACGAGTCCTCGCAAACACACCTTCCCATGAATAATTTTCAGTCAACCACAATATTATTGCAAAATCATCTCGATTGCAGGCTAGGTCCCATTTCTAGCAACTAAATTGACGTTTAGTCCTGCCATTTTTTGCCTAGGATACAGCAGCAATAAGAATACGACAAGTGATAAGCCAAATATATGAACTAAATGATTTATATATATATACGCAACTCATAGAAATTTGATGATGCGTAAAAACGTTCCCTTACATTTGTATCTGAAATCAATACACATTTTTAACACTTAGGTAAACAAATACGTCTTGAATGCTATAAAATATCTATGTTCTTTTAAAAGGTTGAAGACCTCGCCGACTTATTCTAATTTGATGTAAAGGCACTTTGAAGGATTGAGTGTTCTTTTCGACTGGATGGGTCAATTGTTGGGTATGTCACGTGGTATTGCAAATAAGATACGCTTGTTTGATTTTAGCCATTGTATTCGTCCAATGCACTAAATGTTGTCATTGTGTACCACGTTTGTTTGTATTCTTTAGTTACAAAAATATGCTTCTAATTCAGGTAGTACAATTTTCCGTTGGTGTTCGAAGAAGGTTTTGAAAAAAGTGTGACAGAGACTTAAACACAAAAAGAGGGTGGGCTGAAGTTTAGGAGCAGTTTGACCAGGTTTAAGCCACGTCAGTCTTTCATAAAAATGAGTTAAATTTGAGTCGAATTCCACTACCAACCACACCTTACCCTACTCCCGAACACCAGTCTTCCACCATTCAACCGGCATATATTAACAGAAGTCGACCAGGCCGAAGACCAGCCAATCGTTTTACCGACCTGCTTTGCCAAATTTCTGGATTTTTTTTGTCAAGGGTTTTACTTAATTAAGATTGTGAGATCTTTGGATTGTTTTCTGCTAAGAAATGAATAAAACGGCTCTTTGCAAAATCATATATTTTAACCTCCGCAGATGACTAAAATAGATTACCCTAGCTTTTTTTATACAATATATGGTGCTGTAATATTTTTCTGCACAAAGCTACAAGAACAACTCTCAACTACGTACTTTCTGTAACAATTTAAAACAGACATGTCTAGAAATTCACCTAATAGTATGTTTTTATAAAGGTCAATGCCCCTTCCAACATGATTTTAATTTAATGTGAAAGTTCTTTTGAAGGATTGGGTGTCCTTTTCACCTCGCTGGGTCAATTGTTTGGTATGTCACGTAGTATGGTATAATAAAACACGGTTCTTTGACCTCACGTATTGTATTTGTTTAATGTGCAAAATGTTACCCTTTTCTGCCATGCCCATGCCTGTATGCATGCATCAGTAACAAATATGAACATGTCGCCTTTAATTCAATCCAAATAGCTCACCATCAAGCTTTACCACCGTAATCTGTAACATTTGTGTTAAAGCCTCTGCCACACTTTTAGAACCTTCCAACGAACACAAACCTAAAGTGATTGGCTGAACGTCGGGAGCAGCCATAACATAAACAATCGAGGATGGGTTTAATTTGAGTCGAATTCTGCTACCAATTAGCCTTCACCCACTCCCGAACACAAGCCTACCACCTTTCGGCCAGCGAGGATGAACAGTGGTCGACCCGATCAAACACCAACAAAATCGTTTTCCCGACCTACTTCGCCATTTTCTTTTCTTGTCGAGGGTTTTAGTTACAAGCGACTATAAGATCCTGTGATGGTTTCTATTCAATCACAAATACGTATAACAACTATTTGCAGTATAACATGATTTTACACATAAAAGGAAGAAAATAAAGGGCAATATTTATGCAATATAAAGTTCCATACTGTGATATTTATATACAGTCTCAAAGGGTATATCCCAAAAAATGCTAATAGGTATATTTTGGTATATATAAGAGGGACCTCCCATACAAAGTTCTATATCATATACATTTAATAACAATTAATTACAATTAATTGTTTAAAATGGACAAAAAATCACTTAATTAAAATTCAGGCTATTTTGCTATAGTTGAATCCATTTAAATTAATGACATAAGAATGAGAAAAAGGAACACGGATGAAAATATCACACTACATTCAAAACTATGGAATCAGTTTCGCGTCACCGAGCTGAGAGGGTTGTTATTGTCATTTTTTTTATAAATGTTTTCAATTCTTTGTTCAAGATGTTTCATAGTTAAAAAATATTGTTAATATCTTTAGACATTCTAAGTAATGGCCGGTTTTGTAAAAGTTTTGAAATATTAATGTGGAATATGACATTTCCAAAAGTTCTAAATATTTGTAACAGCATTAAGATTTAATAACAATTAATTACAAGTGTAAATAATCAGTTAATTTTATAATTATTAATTTGTTATTGATTAATTTGTAATTATTAATTTATAATTAATTGATTTGTAATAATTATTTGTAATTAGTTAATTTTAACCATTAATTACGATTATTTGAAAATATTTTGTAAATAGGCCAGTTGGCTTGAAAAAAAGTAATTAACATATCCCTGTGAAATACAGAGTAGTCTGCTTGGGGCACATGCATGGATGGCTTGCACAGAAGCACACACTAGAGTCAGATTAGCACCGACTTTTGTTGGGGCAATACCCCGCATTTATCCTTTGGATCTTATTTTGAAATAGTTGATTTGATTTGATTTGATTTATTAGGCTGATAACACATATGTATGCAGCCAGGACTGCCCAACTAGCCGGAGGCTATTATAAAGGGCTAGCCCTCACAACAATAACATAAACAATTCGGAACAGTTAACAGTTAACAGTGTCAGTTACAATTCAGATAGACATACTACCGGTACTACTACATAACAGATGTTGTGGCCAAACGTTAGCAAGCTAGTTCTAAATATTTCGAAAAATCAAATACTTACATATGTACTTAAAGTCTATTTAAAAGAAAGAGATATTTGTACAGTCATTTTCAAAATGTTAAAGAATATAT